GAGAAATGGCTTGTTTAGGGTCATATAGTTAGAACCCAGATCTGCTGACCCCCACTGCATTCCCAGCCCCCAGAAAATGCTGCAGAAATGTTGAATAATTTCACATCCAATCTGATCCGCCATTACCTCAGGGCAGAAATCAAAGGCAGTGAGGAAAAAACAAAAACAAAAAACAAAATCTTGTCCTCCAGAGAGGGAGATGGGCTTTGTTGAAAAAGAATGCAGGTTGAGTATGGTAATAATGATAGAATTCAGCAATACTGAAGTTCCTTGTCTCCCTGATTTCAATTTTTATTCCTACATGGAGGATACAGTTATATCCCAATGGCTTGGAGTGATTTAGGTACAATTATATCCCATCAGTTGGAGAAACAGAATCACAACTGTTCAAATGCTGGTGGCCCTACTCAAGGGCAATACACTTACCCAAAATAAGGTGCACAAACGTCACCATCACAAAATTTAAAATATGACTTTAACAATGAGGGCAATTGAGAGATATAAAGAACCGCACTGCAATAATGAACCTGGATGCTTCTAAATGGTAAAATTATGAACACCTTTCTTTTTTTCCTTCTCTATCCTTTTTATTCTCTCCAGATTCTTTTGAGAATGTATGTATTACTTCTTCATGAGAAATAGAAATAAAATTTACATTAAAAACTCAAAAAGGAAATTCTTACAAGTCCTCTAAAGAAGTAAAAAGTTGTCAAAGGACCCAGGTAAGTCTCCTATTCCGATATAACCACTAAATTGCACTCAAGCTTCTTATTCTGGAATTAAAGTCTCTGTCATGATTGGCATTCACACCCTCGTATTAACTGCTGACTTTGCCAATTCCAGAGATGAGCTATTAGGAAGTGATGAAAGGAAACAAGCTTCCTATGGGATCAAATGGTTTGTAGCTCGTGAATTAGCTGATGTATGGGTCTGAGCTTCAGGTGAAGAGAATGCCAAGAGGTGTGGCACTTGGGGAAATGCTGCCAGTTGACTGCCAGCCCACATCCAGGAAGATGAGATATTAGGATCACATCACTGAGCCACACTCTTAGAATAGACTCCTCACACACACATAGAAGATGATGGAAGCGTTTTTTTGGAAATGGCGTCTAAGTCAGATGAAGCCTAGAATCAGAATATTGGAGCTACCAACAGCCTAAGCCATCATCTCACCCAACTCTTTCATTTCACAAATGGGAAAACATTGACCCCTCCCCACAAGGGGAAGGAACTTGTCCAAGCTCACACAAAGAGTCCGTGAAACAGTCTGAATTGGAAAAGGGTAAAGTAGACTAGAGAAATGAGGGACCAGGGACAAGGCCTTTGGTTTTTGTGAGAGTTGGAACTCAGACCACTGAAAAATAGCCCCATCTCTCAAAAGACAGCACCCTCCAAGAAAAGGTGACCTAGAGTTTTTAAAAGTATGCTCATTACCCCAGGAAGAGTTTAAAAAGAAAAAAAGGCAAATCTAGACAGTCAAGGGTGGATGCCCAGGCCTGGGGAGGTAAGGAAAACGGGGCCTGGCTACTAATGGGTACAGGTATCTTTGGAGGTGATGAAACGTTCTAAAATTGTGGTAATGGTTACGCAGCTCTGTCAGTTATCAGATTAAAAATAATCAAATCACATACTTCATATAGGTGAATTTTATGGCATAATAATTATATATACAGCTGACCCCTGAACAACACAGGTTTGAACTGCTTGGGTCCACTTTTACGTGGGTTTTTTCCGATAAACGTGTGCTACGGCACTATGTGATCTGTGGTTGGCTGATTCCACGGATGTGGGTACTGAGCAGTGACTATGGGCCTCTACCAATTTTGGTATCCACGGTGGGTCCTGGAACCAATCCCCTGTAGATACCAAAGGATGACTGTATACCCAGAAGTGCTATCTCAATAGAGTTTCTTTTTAAAAATTTGCTGGACCCCAACCCCAGCATTTCTGAGTTAGTAGGTCTGGGGTAAGACTGAAGAATTTGCATTTCTAATAGATCCCCAGGAGACCACACTTTAAGAATCACTGGTCTAGAGAAACACTCACATGGGTGCCACAGGGGACATTGACAAGGATATTTCTGCAACACTGTTTATAAGGATAAGAAAGAAAAAAAGAAACCTCCTAAATGTCCTTCAGTAGTGGAATGGGAAAGTAAAAACAGGATTTGTTTGCATTGTGTGATACAGTTACACCATCTGTATTTTCCTTTTTTCTCTCTTTTCATTGAAGTACAATCAGTTTACAGTGTTGTGTCAATTTCTGGTGTACAGCACAGTTTTCTAACAAATTGCTAAGTTGAAAGACATACATACAGATTGTACATGGATATATCCATATATAATGTTTAGAAATGTTTAATTAGAGAATGATACACTACCAAGTTTAGAATAGCGGTTACCTCTAGAGGGACAGAGGGAGAGGAGGATGGATAGAGGGGGGTTCATCTTAACCCATAACATTTTATCTCTAAAAAAAACCCCAAACAATAAAACACAGCAATGACATAAATATGGCACCAGGTTAACATCTCTTTTTTTTTAACATTTTTTATTGATTTATAATCATTTTACAATGTTGTGTCAAATTCAGGTTAACATCTCTTAAATCTTGATTGTGGACGTACATATGTCTGCTTTTTTGTTCTTTTATATGTTTGAAATGATTCATATTTGGCCCTTTAAAATGAGAGATGACATCACTGCCCTGTTACACTAGGTAGCAAATCATAGGTCGCCAGCTCCAGACTTCAGAGCATGTGTCTTGCCCATTACATGAGATGAGTAGTAACAGTGAACTTCATCCAGATATCCTGAATACAAATTTGGCTTTGACCCTAAGAAGAGTAATTCCCCTGACCCTCCTTTCTCTTCTTCACCAAAGAAAGCACTGTGGCAGAAACAAGGGCTCAGGATAACCTCCCCAAGACCCAGTTCTCCCCTAACATGGTCCAGTCAAACACAGCAACCAGTCAGTGTTTGATGCTCTGTAGATGAGCAACAAGAACAAAGTGCACTGACTGTGCTGAGAAATTTGACCTCTCACCCACCAGGCAGAGTACAAGGTGTCTGGGAGGCACACCGATCCCTGATAAAGTCAGATGCAGGTACCTGTGTGTGGGTTCTGTCCCCAGAAGTCCCACCAAGACGGAATGAATTACTCGAGACTCTGTGGAAAGTCAAGAGAGCAAGAAGGAGTTGGGGACCAACTTCTCGAGTCTCTCAAGTGCTCCCACATTTATTGTGTATAATCAAAGGAAAAATCACCAAGTTATGTCATGGAATGTAGGAGCTTAAAGAAAGACAGGATCAGGAAGAGATTATAGAATCCACAGTGAGTACAAAGGCTTAATTAATCTTCAAGGCAGACATGGGGAGAGCGAAACAAGGTACACTCTTCAGACATAAGATGTGGATTACAAAACAGACCACCAGACCAGCCAGTCTCTTGTCTTAGGGATTATAGACTATCTAAACAGCAGAAAGCATGCCCAGCATTTATGGCTGAGGGCATAGGCCTTCACTTTGCAACAAGAAGAGTAAACCCTGAACTATGGACCTATGCTTAAAACAAGCCATGTCCTGTGTTTATAGCAAAAGACACACAATGGCTTTGCCATTGGAAGCAGCCCTAAGCTAGAACCTCAACTATGTAAGCAAGGCACTGTCTCTGCTTTTTACGGCAAGGAGACAGGAGTGCAGATGCACCGACACCTGCTAGCAAAGCACATTTGTTTTCCCTAAAGGTCACAAGCGGCTGGGATCTGTTACAATTTATTAACCCAATCATGGGCTCCCACAACCGTGGGTGCAGTGGTCCCAGCGTGAATGGAGAACTAACGGGAGAGGTTGGACAGGGGCATTTGTACAAGGCGTGGAGGTGGCTCCTAGAAGTGACTTGCCCTGAAGAGAAAGAGGCTGGAGGCCACCAGCCGGCTCTGGGACACTCTGAGCACAGCATGGAGTGGCACTTGGTTGTCTTCCAGGGACTGATGCCCTAGGTCTGGAGAAGGGAGTGCCAACCTCAACAACAACAGAGTAAACGTTAAAAAAAAACAGGAGAATTTAAGACCCACATTGGAACGGGCATCGTCACAGCCAGGGGAGAAAGTATTGGCTTCACCTCAAGGAGAGAGGATGTAACAAGCAGTTTAGCCAAAAACTGGGACAGTGGCCTTGCACAGATCCCGGTACAGCAGTGGACACGGGTGGGAGCTGGGCATTAGCATACCGGTCACATCGAGCATTGGCAGAGACAATATCCTAGTTTGATTCGAAAGAACTTTAGGGAGAAAGATTCCCCAAATCCGAATTTAGTCCTGGTGGATAAAAAAATTCAAATGACAAAAGAAACACTTTTAAAATCTGTAGAGTATGACTCAAACACAAGAGATGGCCCTTCTTCAATGTATCAGACGAGTTCTTCAGTATTTCCCAAAGGGGGGTTTCAGAGATGTTTGGGGTGCTAACAGCATCGTCTCTCCCTAGGTGACAAATTCGCAGGATGCTTGTCTAAAATCAGTTTTATTCTCTCAGTCACCCCTCACATGTAACTGACATCCAGAGAATGATTTCTGGGTTCAGTCTTCTTGTTTCTACTGACTATGTGAACAAGAGAAAAAAATTAGCCATGCATTTCCTGGTGCTTGGTTGGTACTTAATAAATGTTAGCTCCTGTCCTTCTTGTAGGCTCTTGGAAAAGAGAAGGTGGAACGTTGTAGAAGGTTAACCGTTGCATTTTACTGAGTAAGGTCCCATGATGAACGTGTTTATCATATTCAGATAAGGACTCTTGCCTTAGTGGTTCCCACTGGTTCCCTGCTGGCCTGAGTCTATGCTGGGACTCACTGTGCTTAATGAATGATAATTAATGGTGATGAAGACCTTTAAGGAGAGGGCTAAACTATGCAGTCTGCCTTTGCCTTTAGGTGGCTTTTATAAGCAGCACATGCACACAGAATGAAGACTTTGAAAGGAACGAATACAAACAAGAGCCATCACTGCTTTGCAAGGGAAGTTTATTAGGAGATTTACAAAGGGATTTGGAGAACTGGAGGACAGGTCAAAGCAGCAGAGAGAACCACAACACACGTCATGTGACTTGCACAGCCCTAACTTGTCAGACCATCAGCTCACAGAATAACTGCAGGAGGGCAGCCTCGAACGAGGAGGATCAGGTGGGCCTGGATGCCTGTTCTCTTTCCAGACTGTGAATCACGGTGGTGCCTGGGGTGGGGCCCCATGCCTGATGGTTGTCAGAGAGCAGGGCTGGTCCGTGGATGGTCTTCTGTCTTCACACAGTTCTCCTGCTCAGCCCGACATATCTAGCACCCAAAGGTGCTGCAGGGCCCGATGCGGGAGCGTGGGCCACAAGGGGTGCAGGAATTTGTGACGCATGCGTTGCTCGTGGCGCAGGGGTTGCAGGGCAGCCTGGGACACAGAATCATTAGCTCATCACCATGAGAGAGATGAAAAAAGTAAGGAGGGGCATCAACCCAAGGAGACGCGAAACAAGCAAAAACCGCTCTCTGACATCTTCGGAAGCCAAGTCTCAGTCGGATCACTCCTTCTACAAAGGAGTAGACTTTGGTGGAAAAGAGCAAAGAAGACTTAAGGTCTTCACTCTATAAGCCTGGGGTCATGGGGAAGTCCTATGTCCCTCAAAGCCCAGTCCTCTCACCTGTGAGACGGATTGGTAATACCTCCCAAACAGATTGTGTTCATGAAAATACTCTTATTAGGGGACAAGTGCTGGGCCCTATGAGTTTTTGAGTCATCTCTCCTTTGCAATATTCAAATGCTCATCTGTAAGGTGGTTGTCCTGATTCCCACTCTGCCTGCCTCAGTGATCCCAACAAGAATCCATGAAACAATGGATTTCAAAGTATGAATTAAACCCAAAGGCACTATTTAAATACACATGGTGGTGATTTTGTTTTCCCTTTTGCTGTGACAAGCCAACCTTGAAGGTACAAAGCTTTATTCATCCATCAGCACCCAAAAGCTTACCAGCAGAGAAATAGCCAAGTCTCAAGAGGATCTTTTGGAACAGAAAATACCTTTCGGCCAGGTACTGACAAATACTTTTCACTCCTCGCTGCTGGAATATACAACTCTGGTCTCTACAGACATATTGGCATCTGAAACTTAACCTGCAAAGTCCCTGTTTTGTCCTTTAGGAGAACTATGCGTGTGCGTCACAGGGGTGCCACCTGCCAGGTACTCACTTGCAGTCCTCGCTCTCCAGCAGCCCCC